TTCAAAGCACATCATTCCAACCTCTGATTTTGTCATCGTATCTCCTTTTAATGACTTTGTCCTTTTTGTCTTCTTATAAGGGTTCTTGTGAGTATGATAAGCTCATCCAGGTAATGAAGTATCTCTGGATACTTCATGTGCAAAGTCTCTTGGCAAAAGCTTACATAATCATGGGTTTTGGGTTAGGATATGGACATATTTTTGGGGGAGGGCTAATAATCCAGATAATCACTTTGAGGAATAGGAGCCCCATTCAGAGCCTTTGTGTTGGATTTGTGAGCCCATCACGAAGGGCTGTCTTTAGGTAAATCTTGCGTGGAGCAAAGAAGCCAAGTTTCGGTGGAGTAATGTGAGAACTAGAAAATCCAGCATAATGTGTATTTATGATTCTATAACTTTGAGCTAAAGTTGGAGTCACATCTTCCTTAAATGATGTTAAGAGAGCTGGAAAACAGAGGCCTAATCATAAAAACAAAAATACTCTTGAGAATGTGGGAAACCTAAAAAAGTCAAACTCATAGAGTCAGAAAGTAGAATTGGGGTTGCCAGGGGTGGCAACCTGATGGGGTCAGAGAGGGTGAAGGGTGGAGGGAGGATGGATGCCCGGGCAGAAGACCCCTTTCTCCACACGTTGGGCCAGCCTTGTGGCAGAGCTCAGTATGAGGATATGTTGGACTCTTGACTAGGAGCTGGATTGAGATCTGAGAACTCAAGGCCAACATTAAGCAAGATTCTGGAGATCAATTCTTTCATCTCAGCCTTTAACTCACATGTGGAATTTCAGCACAAGAATCCATCAAAGGGATGCAAGGACTTTGTGTCTGCAGGTTTTCTGCTCAAGAGTTGACCTTCCCACTTCTTGGAGGCAAAGCTCCTTGCTTACTTCCCTTTTCAGTGATAAAATTTTCTAAGTTCCAGTGAAACATTCCAGCCCTCCTCAGGTTGTTGTAGCTGAAGAAAATGCTAAACTCATTTTTTTCCACAACAGTTTATCTCTTGGAAATATTGCCCAATATTTTGAGCTCTATGGCCATCTATGTACATGCCTCAAGTTTTATTAATATTATTGATGTCACATTTGAAACTATTGTCATGTCTCATGGCCTAATGATAAAGGACTCAATAGCAAGACATTGAAGGCTGATGAGCTAGTTGGTTGTAGGGTCAGTGTATAGTCTCTGGAAATTAATGGGCTCATGTTCCAGCCACCAGATTAAACTATACTTAAAGAAAATAAAGACATTTACTCTGGGAATCCACACTGCCCTGCTGACACACTGCCTGAGTAGTGAGGTTTCTCCTAGCACAGGCTGAGAAGATGGAGATTAGCAAAAGATACATTGACTGGGAAAGTGTGTGCCCCATCTAGTGGTGCCAGCACTAAACACCGGAATTTCTGTATCCTGGTCATTCTCAGATTTAGCTGTCCAAGTTTTGCCAGGAAAGGAACAGAGACAGAAATTGGGCTCATGCTACTCTTCAAGAGATCCCCAACAAGCCTAGGAGGTGTTGTATCCCCAGTTGGCACACCTTAGGAGGGAGGGCTGACCTGGTGGCCAGAGGCATTTGGTTCCTGGGAGGCACGAGAAATGAGCATTGCTTAGGCCAGCAGTAGTAACTGTCTTGGGTGACTTAGTCTTCCTTTTGTTTTTGCTGTGGCTCCATTGCCTCTCATCACAATCTGCTTCCCCCCAAGGCCCAGCATTGCTTGCCAATAGCTCCGTAGACATTTAGGGAGAAGAGGAAGGTAGGAGCAGTAGAGGACTCCTGGTATGATTCTCTCCAGTTTTCCTGGAATCCTGGGGTCTGGATCAGGAGATCCCTTGGGTGGGATGTACTCTTGGCCTTCCAGAAGGAGTATCTTTCCTGCATGTTAAGATTCTCCTGGGAGCATTTAAATGGCCCTGGAAGCATTCTTAATAAAGGCTCACTGAATTTAAGTGTCTGCAGTAACTGAGCAGTGTTCACTGGGCCAGTTAAAATCTTAGGACAATGTTTTGGCTCCAGCAAGTGTTAGTAGATGCCCTTAAGCAAGTCATTTCCTCCTTTGGAATTCAGATCTCATCTAAGAAAGGAAAGAGTTGAATTATGTGTCCTTACAGGTCTTTCCTGGTGGTGTCATATTGGGGTGTGTGTGTGACCCCTTTAAAGCCCGAGGAACAGATAATGGTTAAATTAGGAGGATGTGTTTTGGAGCCATCATTTTCTTGGGGAAATATACTCACTTTAAATTCTAATCACCTCCCATTTGTCAAGTTCTTCCTTGTTAAGTCTAGAATTGGTTTTCATTCCTGAGGGCCAGATGCTATCTTTTGATTTCTTCAGTTAGAGAAGCAACTTACTTTAAATGTTGGGTGCTGAAATAAAAATCTCTAATAGTTCAATTATAGAGGCATCTTTTCTCTTATTCCGGTTGAGGAAATGGATGAGATTAATTATTCAATATGTAATAGTAGGTATAACTATGTACATATCTTAGCACGTTAAAAGAATCTTAAAGTTACCATTAATTTATCTCGAGAAAAAGACTGAATACAAATGCAATTGATTTATTATCTTAATTCCAGTTACAGAGAAGAATAGTTGCCATGCAAACAGCAGCTTACATTTAAACAAATGGGATGGTTTAAAATGAAGGGGTAACACTGACACAGGAGAGTGGCTCCCTGCTTATTTGTTCTTGAGAACACACTACTGGGAGGAAAGCTTGAGAGACATCACAGACATGAGGCCAGATGCTGGTATATGCTGCCAGTGTTCAAAAAATGCCTTTAGTAAGTTCCTTCTCTGTTTCATGGTTGAGTTGTTTAGATGGCTGTTACTTCATTTTATCTAAATATACTAACAGTTATAAACGATTAGCAGGGAAACCCTTGAACACTGTGATTAAGATTCCATATGTTAATTATTCCATTTGATAACAACATAACAGTTTTATTCACTGGAAAATCACAAATACACACTGATATTTACAAGAGTTGTTGTTTTCAGTTAAATTTAAATGGAGAATGGTACATTTTAGGATAAAAAGGAGATGAATTCAATTGACAGACTCAACTGATTCACACTTTTCTTATTAGAAGAACAAAAATAAGGTAATAAATAAAAACAAGATGATTATATTTCTAAACATGGAGACAACCCAAAATGTTTCCTTCCTTGGCTTTGGGATGCATTGTGAAATTTTGCAAAATCAAAATTTATAAACCATTTTGTGTAGGCTAATGTTATAGTGGGTTTTCATTTTCTGAAGGTACAATGATTGGGTTGAGTCCACTGGGTGGGGATAGAAAAAACTGGTCGAAGCTTCGTTGTTGAAGAAACAAATCAACAAATAATTTTGAAAACAAACAAGTCCTCAACTATACAGTTCCTTCTCTACAGAAAGTTAGGAGTTGACCAAATGTGGTGGGCAATCTCAAACCAGGTGCCATTTGTACAGTCTTTGCTTCACAATGAATCAGGAAGAAACGAGGACATGTAAACACAACCACCACAGATGAGTTACAATGAGAATGGATTCAAAAATTACATGTCTACAGCCCCTGGGTGTGCTGATGACATGCTGGGAAGACTGTCAACATTTCTAAGACCATGGGATGCTGAGAGTCTGGGTGTTATATTTTCTTGATTATATCCTAGGGCAGGGATATCTTTTTGCCCAGTGACAATGGGCAACTATGGTAAGAGCTCAGGGATCTCTGGTCCAGAGAACAGGGATGAAAAAGTGGAGGTATTTCTCCATAATAAACCACAGGGGAAGGGCTTTTTGGACAAAATTTTCCCAAACAAATTGTTGACTAGCACTTACCCATTCTTATCATGTACGCAGTTGAAAATCATAGTCACACACTATATACTCTTCCAATGGTCCTATAAGGCAGGCAGAGCAGATATTTTCATTATCCTCATTTCATTAAAACAAAACTGGGTCACATAGAGAAGAAACATCTAGGTCATATGAGCCCTAGATTCAGGACTTGAAGCCAGGTCTTTGGATTTCAAGCAGAGCTCCTTTTATAAAAGAAGGTGTGTTCTAGAAAACAGTCCAGGTCTTAGTACAATGGCCACACAGATTATGTCATTGCCAATGCTTTCACTCCTTTCTCTGTCCCCTTCCTCCCCAACCAGAGTCCCTGAAATCCTCTGTATTCATGTGTCAGGAACTGGATGTGTACCTTATCTCAAGCTTGCCATCGTCACCCAATAGAATGATGAGATTCCAAGCATGGGTGAGAAAGACTTTCTTTGAAATGACAATTGTAGATAACCACACCAGACTGGCCTAGTTGCAAGAAAAATTCTTTTCTGGAAGCCCTACTCCTAGAGAACATCTCAGGAGATAGTACGAGCTGGGTAGGGAAGGTCAATGTGCTGCATTGACTCTCTTCCTGTGAGGCTATAGACTCCATGCTGATGGGTTTCCTTACATTTCTATTTTGGTCTAAGTTCCTTATTCTCTAGCCTTTTGACATGCCTGTGGTGATAAGACACAGAATAAGGGAACATGGAGTGGGAGTCCAACTAACCACTTGTGGCCTCTTTCCACATAAGTATCTCATGCTAACCGATTGCGCCACTGAGCTCCATAGCTTCTTTCCAGATGTCTTCTTATCTAGATAGAGCTTGCTACTCCACTAGCTTCTACCATTTTGTTTTGTGTTTAACTGTCTCTGCACACAATGAGTAATCAGTAAATGTCAGCTCCTGTTGCCTCTCATTGGTGTGGTTTGCAGACACAAGGTGTTTGACCTATGCCAGCTGTGGCCACTTGTGTCCACTCTCAACTCAGTAGGTGTTGAGCAGATATCACAAACTGCCAGTGGCTGTGGTTTGTGTCTAGCCTCCTTGCCTGTTAGGACTTAAAAAATACCCAGGTCCTTGAGGACAGAAGGACAGTGAACACGGTTGCCTTTTCCCTTACAGTCTGTGAACTTGGTTGATGGTGCATGATGCACTGAGCACTGAATTTGGATTTTCAATTGTGGAATACCAGCAGGTCACTTCAGCCGGATACAGTCCACCTCTTCGGTGGCAGGCACTCCGCTGCTTTTGAGGTCAAGGTCAGCGCTGGACTTGCTCCCGTGGTGGGAGGGACGCCAGTGGAGCAGCATCATCTTCTTGAAGTACTTCATGGTGTTGTTCTTGACCGTGACAAAGCACACGGTGTTGATCATGCTATTGCTCATGGCGATGCACTCCACCACGTAGAAGGCGGTGAGGTAGTGCTTCTCCTTCACGAACACGGTGGGGAAGAAGTCGCGCACGATGGTGAAGCCGTAGAAGGGCGCCCAGCACAGCACGTAGGCGGTCAGGATGCACATGAGCACCAGGACGGTCTTCCGACGGCAGCGCAGCCGCTTGCGGATCTGCTCGGTCTGGAACCCGGGCACTGCCTTGAACCAGAGCTCCCGGGAGATCCTGGCATAGCACAGGGTCATGGTGACCACCGGGCCCACGAACTCCAGGCCGAAGATGAAGAGGAAGTAGGACTTGTAGTAGAGCTGCTGGTCCACTGGCCAGATCTGGCCGCAGAAGATCTTCTCCTGGCTCTTGACAATGACAAGGACAGTTTCGGTGGTGAAGTAGGCCGATGGGATGGCAATGAGGATGGACACCACCCAGACCAAAGCGATCAGGCAGGAGGCTGTTTGATAATTCATCCGTGGTCTCAAGGGGTGAACGATGGCGAGGTATCTGGTAGGGGAGGAAAGCCAACCACAATAAAGACATGTACTTGTAACTATGATTGGCTGTTTACATGTTGGGCAGGCACTCTAGGACTGAGCTACATCCCCAGCCCACGTGATTTTTAAAAATTTAAATGAAAAAAACTTATGGGGGGTAGTACTGGGATTTGAACTCCTGATTTACCCATTTACTAGGCAGGCACTAGTAAGGCTACCACTTGAGTCAGTCTCCAACCCCTTTTGCTCTGATTATTTTGGAGATACAGCCTTGCTTTTTGCCCAGGCTGGCCTGGACCACCATCCTTCTATTTTATGACAGGTGCGTGCTACCGAACCAGCTATTGGTTTAGATGGGTCTCATGAAGTTTTTCCCCTGGATGGCTTTGAACTGCTTTACTTCTGATCTCAGCCTCCCAAGTAGCTAAGATTACAGGCTGTGAGCCACCAGTGCCCCACTACATCACTGGTTTTAATCAACCCCAAACACACTCAAAAGCAACAGAAAGGAATTTCCATATACCCACTACTCAGATTTACCCAGCTTTATCTCATGTAACATCTTCATTGGCATTTGAATAGTGGTTTATGGAAACAGCACCAGGCTTTGAGTCAAAATGGTTGAATAAATCCTGACTTTCTCCCCAACTGACTTAGGGATCAGGGACAAATTACCCAATCTCTCTGAGATTCATTTCCTCAAATACAACCTGAGACAAAATGATACCTTCTAGGATGTCTGTAACTTAAATACGACAATGTTTGAAAAAATGCTTGCTGTTAGCTCAATAAATAATGTGTTTTCAGGTTACTCCAGAGCACCTGCACACCCATGTTTATTGCATCACTATTCACAATAGCCAAGTTATGGAAACAGCCAAGATGCCCCACCACTGACGAATGGATTAAGAAAATGTGGTATCTATACACAATGGAATTTTATGCAGTCATGAAGAAGAATGAAATGTTATCATTCACTGGTAAATGGATGGAATTGGAGAACATCATTCTGAGTGAGGTTAGCCTGGCCCAAAAGACCAAAAATCATATGTTCTCCTTCATATGTGGACATTAGATCAAGGGCAAACACAACAATGGGATTGGACTATGAGCACATGATAGAAGCGAGAGCACACAAGGGAGGGGTGAGGATAGGTACGACACCTAAAAAATTAGCTAGCATTTGTTGCCCTTAACGCAGAGAAACTAAAGCAGATACCTTAAAAGCAACTGAGGCCAATAGGAGAAGGGGACCAGGAACTAGAGAAAAGGTTAGCTCAAAAAGAATTAACCTAGAAGGTAACACACATGCACAGGAAATCAATGTGAGTCAACTCCCTGTATAGCTATCCTTATCTCAACCAGCAAAAACCCTTGTTCCTTGCTATTATTGCTTATACTCTCTCTTCAACAAAATTAGAGATAAGGGCAAGATAGTTTCTGCCGGGTATCGAGGGGGTGGGGGGAGAGGAAGGGGGCGGAGTGGGTGGTAAGGAAGGGGGTGGGGGCAGGGGGAAGAGACGACCCAAGCATTGTATGCACATATGAATAATAAAACAATAAAAAACCAATAAAAATTAAAAAAATGTGTTTTGCTATTAATTATGGTGCTATTGTACCACCTTGGCTTTCAATTTTGCCATTCTGCCTAAGAACATAATACTCTACACATTTTGTATTCCAAATACCTGTGGTTTAGAGGTGAAGGAAGGGTTGTATACCTCAGAGAAAGGTGGGGGTCTTTCTCATGCAGCAGATCAGGGCCATCTCCACTTCTTCATAGGTGTCCCCTTGCATTACAGAGGCAGGAGGGGAGGAGTGGGCTGTGGTGGAACTAAGGGCTCTAAGAGAAACATCTTTCCTAAGCCTGTGTCCTGCAGATAACAGGATTGAAGCTCTGGATACAAAACTTTTACACCCACTTTTCTGGGCTGTCTCATGCTCAAGTGAGAAGGTGTATGAAGTCACCTGCACGTCAGAAGGCATTATTCCATTCTTTCCAGTGAACCACACTGCCCGGGAGAGAAGAGATCAGAGCCCTTTATGGAAAATGAGCTCATTGTGTGGGATGAATGCCTTCTTTCCAGAGAGATCTAATGATACCTATTTAGATATTTTGGTGTCCTGGAATCATTTCTGTGACTTTTGTGGGTGTGGGGAAGGAAAGGTGGTGGGGGAAGGCAGAGGAAGCTAAGGGACATGAGGGGTAGGGAAGAAATAAATCAGCCCTGGAAATCCACTCATACCTAAAGTTTGCATCAGGTGAGGTCAAAAGCAGAAAGCCACCTGTAGAAAATTCTATGCATCTTACCTATCCTTTGTAACCAGACACTTTGATCACCTTTCCAGGTCTCTGACTTAACTAAGAATACCTTCTGCCATGCTATTACTTCCTGTCCCTGGCAAGCTTTCTGCTATCTTCTCTTGCCTGCCCTCTGCCTGCTATGGTTCTAACCTGGTGAATTCCATTAGGAGATGCCATGGCAGCATGGCTCCCTGTAGCTTCAGACTTTCCGAGTGTTGAAGGTGAAGTTGGATCCATCCTAACCTCTGCCTGCTCCCAGCTGGATGGACTAATGCATGGTGGCTGCTGGAGTTCTTCCTCCAGCCTTGTGAATCAACATGACTTGCCTAGGTGGATAAGCACCATAGGATTGAAGAGGGGACAAATGGGCCAGCTCATCCCTGACTGGATAGGGACAGTTCATAATCTCTGTGATGACTAGGTGAATTGGTTTCCTCTTGCCTCTGTAACAAATTGTCACCAGCACAGAGGCTTGAAATGACATAAATTATTACTGTACACCTTTGGAGGTCAGAAGTCTGACATGGTTTTCACTGGGCTAAAATCAAGGTGTCAGGCTGCACATAAGGCTTAAGTGGTAGGGAGCCTACTGAGCAAGCACGAGGCCCTGAGCTCAAACCCCAGTACTATCAAAACAAACAAGTAAAATTAAGGTGTCAGTAGGGTACTATTCCTTTCTAGAGGTTCTAAGGGAAGAATCTGTGTGATGTTTTTGTTTTTTGCTCCCCCCCTTTTTTTTAAATATGGAATGCTTCACAAATTTGTGTGTCATCCTTGCACAGGGGCTATGCTAATTAATCTTCTCTGCCGAAGTGAGCACTGTTTTTTGCCCTTTCAAGGACTGCTTATATTTCTTGACTCCTGACTTCTTCCTTGTTCAAAACTAGCAATGGCCAATGAAGTCTTTCTCACATTGTATCATTCTGACAGTAACGCTCTGCAGCTTCTTCTGGTTAAGAACCTTTGTGTTTACATTAGCCCCACCAAAAGTATCTGGTATAATTCTCCCATTTTATGACCAGCTGACTAGCAACTGAATTCCATCTGTTACCTTAACTTGACATGTAATATAACATATTCACAGCTTCTGGGTGAATATAGGATATAGTTACCCTTGGGGGCCATTATTTTGCCTACTGTACCGAATCCAAGTCCTGAGATGATGCAGGAAAATTCAGAATTTAATAGCTCTCTCTCAGTCTGGTTCCATCATTCACACCATCTCAATAACCAATGCCTAAGGAATGCATGCGTATTCTGTTGTCAACTCTTAAATTCAATTTTTTTGTCATCCAGTAACATCGTCCTCATTCTGTAGGATGTTCCAAAATTCAGAGTTGTTATTGAATAAATCAGAAAGAAAAGAACACTGGACTTAGAGTTATTCAGAAGGCCTGGATCCAAGCTGTGCACTTAGATAAATCACTATGCTCCTGGGACTTAGTTTCTGCATCTGTGAAATGGGAATAGTAATAACTTTATTGACAATCTACCAGGACTTCTGTCAGGTTCCAAGAAAGTAAACATACATAATGCATGGTGGAAGCTATAGTACTTTGCTTACACTGATCATTTCCCATGACTCATTCATTGGCAAGTGAGATCTCTGCAAGGTCTTTATTGCTACCTATATGCTTGGATGTGTTTCTTGATATTATGATTTGAATATGAAAGTTCTTCCACAGGCTAATGTTTTAAACATTTGGTCCCCCAGCTCGTGGCACTATTTTGGGAGGTTCTGGGAACCTTTAGGTTCTAATCACACTTTAGGAGGTAGGACCTAGCTCCTAAGTGGGTCACTGGTACAGGATTCTTGAAGGTATATTGTCCCTGACTCCTGACTGTATTCCCTTTCTCTACTTCCTGTTGACCATGAAGAAACTCTTTCACCACATGGTGTTTTGCCCAAACTTATGGGGCTGCCAAGTAACCATGAACTAAAGAAAGGCTCTGAAACCTTGAGCCAAAATAAATTTTTCCTTGGTTAAGTTTCTATCAGGTATTTGGTCACAGTGAAAACAAAAGTAGCTAACACATTTAAGGTCAGCAGCTTCCTTCAACTGTCTAAGATTTGAAGTATCATGGCTTCTGTATGAACCTGGCTATTTATTCCCTGGCCACAGCATACAGAGGTGACCCAGGGTGGTAGACATGTGTGCTTGACTTCTGTAAACGGAAGTGTATGGAGAGGACTGTGCCTTTCCCAAGGTATGCAGGCCTAGCTAATTCTGGGGTTCAGCATAAAGTAGTCTACATGCCTCCAGATAAAAGTCCCATTTTCCAAAATCAGCACCAAAGATAAAAGTTTGCCATCCATCTTTATGAACATTTGCCCTATTTTTCAAATGGTTTAGAATTTCATGGGAGAAGAGAGGTGCTATTTATTAAGCTCTTGTGTTCTAAGGTCTGAAATTCCATGTGCTGCCTTACAGAACTTCAAAGGCCTAGCCATGAATTATCTTGTTCCTGCCAAATGTACCTCCTCACTCTCCTACCACAGTGGGAAAGGTTCCCTGTCCAGCTAGCTCCTCTAACAGCAAGTATAAGCTTCTCAGGGATCTTTCTTCCAACAACAACTAAAGCTGGTATGGTGGCACATGCCTGTAATTCCAACACTCAGGAGGCTGAAGCAGGAGGATGGTAAGCAAGTTCAAGGCCAGCCTGGGCTACACTGTAAGACTTTGTTTCAAAACAAATCAAAACAGAAAACTCTTAGCATTTATGAGTCAATATTTCTTAGTTATTCTTGGTGTATCATAAATCTTTATTTTTGTGCACAGAAAAACTCCCTGAGGTCAAGGATTGTATTTTTTACTGTTCTGTGTTTCTGTATATGTGGTCTGAGCACACAGCAGGACTTAAGACCATTGTGGATCAACCAGGTTGTGGCAGATGCTGTCAGTGCCCCTCTCATATCCATTTGCTCTTATCATTTGAGTGCACACCTGTTGATTCCCATCTGCCAACATCTGCATTTCTTGAAGGCTTTCTCTGGGTTCTAGAGTCCTCTTGGCTCCTTATGCAGCAGAACCAGAAGTCCTCAGCAATGACTTATGAGAGATGGTGTACCACTACCCTGGCTCTCTCCCACCTCCCACTCCTGGGAGAATTCTGAGCTGTGGTCTACACTGGCTGCAAGCGCTCCTTAGCAGGAATTAGCTCTAGTTGTGGGCCATCGATGGAAGCTTGTTTAATAATGCACCCTGTATTAATTGCCTTCCCTTCCCTGCCTTCCTTCCCATTCATTCCCCTATAGGCACCTTCTGGTGCCCTTTGCACATGAATCCCTGTCTCAGAATATTTGTGGAACAGCCCTAACTATGACACAGGTATAAGGCTATGTGCTAGGCACTGTGGAGACAGAGAGAAAGAAGACCATGGTGATTGTCTTTTAGAAAAGACAATCTGTATCTTCATACACAGCATGGGTTAGGAAAGACAGATTGGCATGTGGTTATGAAGGCTCCAGAATGGGAGGCTAAGGGTTTGGCATGTATTCTGTGGACACCGGGGCTTCTAGTGATTTCTGTCTGAGGAAGAATAATCAATGGTGATATTCTTCATATGTTTCATATGGATTTCAGGGGACAGTGAGGAGCAGGTTAGGAGAGCATTATGATGTCTAGCCATAACTTGCTAAGATATTAAGCTGGAGGGAGAATTGCCAGGACTTGTCTGAAACTACACACAAGGGATGAGGTCAGTGGGGTTTGGAGAGGAGAAAAGGCAAGAGATGATGGTAACTTTCTTGCTGGGTTGTGGGGAGAGTGGTAGCACTGCTGATGGAGCCAGGATCAGAGTGGTTTGGGTGAAAAGGGAACCTCCCTTCTGTTGTGTTGTAATAGGGTGACTGCATCCCAAGAAACTCCAGTGTTACAAATGAAAAGACAAAATGAAATCGACATCATAGGACAAAGGTTATAATGGGACAAGGTAAAACAGTGACTGTTTCACTTTAGTGTACATCAGACTAACTTAAGGAATTGAGTAAAAACTCAGATTCCTGGGGACCAGTCCAAGGAATTCCCATTCAGGAGACTGGGTTGGGGCCCAGAAATCAGACTCTGTATCATTACATCAGATAATACTTTGTCATTTTCCTTGGTAAATTTTGTGCAGTTAGTTGTTAAGTATGCATTTCATAAATGATGATTTTGGGGACTGGAGAGCCTCAGAGTTGTAATAAAATTGCTTTTTTTTTGCAGGCATTCTGCTATAAAAATGATTCATCTTTTACCTATACATGTATTTTATTAACATAACTGGAAAATAATGCACTGATTAAAAAGGATAACAAACCTAAACAGCAGAGAACAAAGGAGACAAAAGGGGAAAAGATGATGAAGCACAGTATCAAAATGAGTTTCAGCACAGCTCAAAAGAATGGGCAGCCACCAAGAGTATGTGACACCAGCTGTCCTCCTCAAACAGAGTCACTGGTGATGTGATGCTGGCCTGAAATTGCTCACATAAATCAAAGGTGTGTAAGATTTGTCATTGGTTGCTGTTATAAATCTTACCTTAGAAATTTATAATAGAGCAAGGACTTCTGGAACATCTCATGCAAATGTATGCATATGAGCACAAGGGTATATGCAAAAAAGCAAAAGCAAGCATGTCCTTCCCTCTTTTCTGCAAACAAAACTTCCAATCTTATCTTAAAATCAGCAGTACATCAAAGTCACCGGAAACAAGACTATATATGGCAGAACTCCTTTTTTATGAAGTTAAGAGCAGATAGAACTAAACTAAGAAGATAGAAATCAGATTAGTGGTCACTTAGAGTGGGAGTGTTGACTGGTAAGGGGAATAAAGAAATTTTCAAGTTGAGGGAAATGTTTTGTGTCTTAATCTGGCTATAGAAAAAGCTGGGTATATTGCCTTGACTGGAAGCTGCCCTAGTTGACTCTCCCATGGCTTTTAAGTAGTTGCTGTCTGAATTTCTGCTTTTGCCTTTGTGTTTGATGCCATGAACTGGATCTGAGTGCATGGCTAGAGCTGAGGGATTCAGGAGCCTCCTACTTGCTCACATTTGGAATAACAGAACACAGGGGGAGAATCAAAGGCTCCTCTTAACCACTCCACAGATGAATGAGCATTCAAAGCTGGAGCAATGCCACCCTGTTGGAGCTGAAGTGAGAAAAGCCAGGCTAGTTTCTGTCCTTTAACCCTACCCAGTGTCCTTACCTGTCAATAGCAATGGCCAGCAGGGCATTGGTGGAGACATAGAGGGAGACAGTACGCAGGTAGTTGATGGAGGCACAGAGCACATGGCCGTGCTCCCAGGAAAGCTGGCGTACTACATAGTAGTCCATCTCGAAGGGGCAACAGACGATGGCCACCAGGAAGTCAGAGATGGCCAAGTTAGCAATAAGCAGGTTGGTGAGGTTGCGCAGCTTCTTATAGCGGCGAGGCAGCGATAAAGACAAAGTTGCCAATACCACAGATTAGCATGATGCCTGCCAGTGCCACGCCAATGACAATCTTGGCTGCAAAGAAGGTCCGGGTCTTGGTCATGTCCTCATCTTCATCTAGAGGGAGATCATAATCGCCATAACTGAAGTTGAAGGGAGCGAGGAGCCATGGTCTTGGGCAGATTAAAGTTGGGTGCAAAACTGGTGTTCCATTTTGGGTTGCCATGGTGGAGTGGTGTGAGGGGTTGGGGGTAGGTGGGTGAGGTTCAGCACTCTGAGCTGGGGGGCCTGGATCCTCTGCTTTCACAGGGTCAGTGAGCCTTGCACACTGCTCACATCCTTGGGGATTATTGACATGCCACCCTGGATCCTGGAAAGAGACATAATTAGTGGATACCATGCAGAAGAGAATCTGGGAGCATCCTTCAGAGTTCCCAACCAGCAGCCACCACTTCCAGAGGATACAGACCTTGATGATAAGGTGTGGTGCCTTCTAGTCAGGGTTGCCTTGGGTGGGGAACTGTGAACTTGGTGAAGAGGGGAGGAAGCAGATCCAAAGTAGTGGAGGCAAGGTGGGTAGGCAAAGGATTCCTTCCAGAACAGGTTCCCAAAGAACAGGAGAATTCCCTCTGGACCACAGCATCCCTGAGGGGATCCTCATTCATTCACTGCAGAGATTCCTATCCACCCTGGTGATGTGCCAGGCCTCGACTGGGTAGGATGACTCAGCCTGTCCATTCGAAACTGGTTTTGGTGATTTCCAAGCCCACGGTTTGGCTAGGACAGAGGGACTCCTGCCCTGCTTTGGAGGAAAGACCCTGATCCTGGCCAACAGATGGTATGACATTGTGACTGTCATGGAAACCTGGGACAGTTGCAGGAAGCAGCCTTGGAAAACTTTCAGAAAACACTTATAGGGATTGATAGGGCAGTGGGAGCTAACAGCAGTCAAAGCAGCACTGCCCCCTGGGAAAGGGCAAAGGTGCACATTCTTCTTGAGTATCCAGGAGAGTCCAGTCCATACTGTGGCCTGTCCTTCTTTACAGCTGCACAGCCAGTGGAGGGCCCCCAGCTTCCAGATGTCTTGTCTCCTCTCAGCTGCTCCCTGGATAGTGCCATCTGTGGGTAAGCTGATCTAAGACCTGGCTTAACTGAAAACAATCCCAATAGTGGGGCTGGATGGAAGGTTGTTAAAGACCCAAGAAAGAGTACAAGGGCTGAACTGCCTTCCATTGCCCAAGAAGTCGTTTATATTCTTGGGGCCTCAAGATGCCCACATGAGAGGAAATTAAGTCTCTGAAGTATTAGCCCTCAGGAGATAGGGCACCACAGGGTGCAAGGTGTCATTGAGTGACCCTGAGGGAATGAGGACTCCAGCATCCCGGTATGGTGGCCATCCTACCAGCCTGACCCACTTTCCTTCTCTACCAGTCAGCACACCTGTAAACGACTCCAAGGTTTCAGGCAGCAAGAAGCAATGTCTCCCAACCAGCCTGGTGGGTTTTGTCCTTATGAGGAAGGACGAGAGGTAGGTATAGAAGGTGGCAAGGGAAAAAAGATGCAGGGGTGGCTTGCTGCGCACCGGCCAACTTGGTGCCCGAGGTAAAGATCACCAACAGGTAAGGTTTAAATTCCAGCAGCGTCTGCACCCCGGGGGTGTCCTCCCTCTGGGTTGCCTCTCACACAAGATCTCACAAGATCCCAAGCCCTGCAAACTGTTCAGTTGGGGACAGAGAAACTGGTGTCCGGCCCTGGTTCCATGCTCTGTGTAGCTCTCCAGTCCCCATACTTGAGAAAAGGGCGTGCTTCTGGCCCGAGGCAGGTCCCGACCCCACTTTCGCAGGACGCACTCTCGGCCAGTGACCCGCAGGCCCTGCCACCCCCCCTCCTCGCTCCTGAACCACTCGACGCGGTCTCCCGCGGCGCAGCCCTGGCAGGAGCAGGAATCAAATAAAAACAACAAAACAAACAAACAAAAAACCCTTGCAAGACAAAAGCGAAGCCGGCAGGGCTCTCGGGTCCATAGAAATCTGGGGGGCGAAGAAAGGATGCAGGGCGCGGGAATTTCCCCAAAGATTCTGCCCTTTGCTGCTCACCTTTTTACCGGTGTCCTCCCCTGTCATTTGGGGCTCGCCAACCAGCTCAGCTGCTTGCTGGCTCCCTCGCCCGCGCCCGCAGTCCCATCCCCGCGTAATGCCCCCAGCCCGGTTCTGGAGGCCCAGTGCGGGATCTCCCGGAATCAGCTCGCCCGGTGCAGCCGAGAGAGGCGGGAGCAGAACCGTCCGAATTGCCTTGAGAAAGAAGCGGGCGTCGGATCCCGTTCCTCCCGGCGGCATCCCCGCCCCATCGACCCCGACTCCCTACTCTACGGACCTGGGCACTTACCTGGGTGGGCGTCTCCTCTCCAGTGCCGTCCGAGGCCTTGGCTGTGTAGCCGAGGGTCTCGGGGAAGGTGGAGTTGAGCTGGGCGTTTGCTTTCCGCCTTGGGCACCTGGACTTGCACTTGCTGCGGCGCCGCGCGCGCGTGTGTGCAGTGGAAGCGTGGTGTCCCTCTTTCTTCCCGCCCCAGCGCTCTTATCCTGCGATCTTCTCTCTCCTCTCCTCTCCTCTTCTCTTTCTCTCTCTCTCTCTCTCTCTCTCTCTCTCTCTCTCAGGCGGCCCTGGGTGCCCCGCCCCGCGCTCGACTCAGCCCCGGGGTCTCCCCACTAGCTGCCTCCCAGCCCTGGCTCCTGCACCCTGGCTGGGGTCCAAGGCCTTTTGGCTTTGTCCCTCGCAGGGGTTTCTAAACACTTGCACCCGGGGGTGAATGGTAGCTCAGCAGCCACGTGTCAAGACTGAGCACTGCCCCTGTGCATCCTGCTGTGGCTCCTCACCTGGGTCGTCTGCCTGTCTGTGCAGAGTCGGAGTGTATTGTTTTCTGCAGGTGCTCAGCGCCAGTGTCTGTGCCCGCGGCAAGCCCGTGGTGCAAGACGAGGTGCACCTCATCTTCCTGGAGAGGTGGTGCAGGGGAGGCCCGCCGTGCAATGTGGGCCCCAAGTGGTGCTGGAGGAGCCCGAAGCCTCCAGGGAGGAAGCCGGGAATGGTTGCAAGTGGGTAGGAGGGGGACGCTGCTTGCCCTGCGCAAAACTCCAACCCTAAGGTCCTAGCCCAAACTCTGTGATGACCACTGCTGACTTGGCTATTCAAACACATGGTTCTTGGCCTCTCAGCCTATGGTCAGGAGATTCCTGTGCTTCCAACAGGCCCTGACTTCAGGCAACTCCCAAACCTCCGTGTTCCTTAGGGTTAGATTTTGGAGCTGCAAATTCAAAGGTCTGGTAGCTGGGAAGTTCTGGGTGTGCATAATTGGACCTCAGAGCTGTGGCAGGAGACTGGAGATCTAAAGAGTCCCCTACTGTTACCGATCCCCTCCTCCATACACCAGGTTATTCACAGATTGGAATATGGACTCCTACTCATCAGATCTTCTCGTTTTCAAGAGAATCTGGAAATTGAGAACTCAAAAGTTTATAACTTTGTAAATGACTCTGTTAGGCTAGTTCAAGCAGAAAAGCCTTGTTTTGGCCAAGGAGAACATAGCCCAGTCTGGACACAAGCCACTGGGTTGCTTGTCTCAAATTCCTGGATAGATAGCCTGAAAACCCTTTTGGGTGACACACTGTATTCTTCTGCTCTTCCTTCATTATGTGGGACTAACCCACTCTCTTGCTCTTCTGGAATCTCCCACCATGATTAAAGACAATAGACTCAGCTTGCTGTTCTCCTCACAGGAGGAGTGTGGTTCAGCTGAGGTTGTGGCTGGCCAGGACACTCCAGATGTGGAACCAAAAGAGGTTCTGTTGTGTGTGGAGGGGACTGATGGGGTGGCCAGTTACAGAAATGGAACACATTTTGTGAGGTTCTTGGTACATGCTTTCAACTTCAGGTAAAGATTTTTTTGTTTTTGGTGGTGGTGGTTCTGGGGTTTGAACTCATGGCTTCATGCTTATTAGGCAGGTAGGTGTTCTACCATTAGAGCTATGCCCCCAGTCTGTTTTTTTGCTATGCTCATTTTTCAGATAAAGCCTCACATTTTTGCCTGGATTGGGCCTTGTCCTGTGATCCTCTACCTATGCCTTCTTTGTAGCTGGGATTACAAGCATGAGCCACTATGCCTAACAAATTCAGGTAAAGATTTCACCACTTCTGGACTGTGCCCACCCCTTTTTTAATGGGACAAACAGGCCCTGGGAACCCTCTGCCCTCTGGTGCTTTCATGGTGGGGTGGCTTTCATACAGGTCTGGGCACTCAAAGTCCTGGCCACCCTCAGCAGAGTAGGTGTTGTGCCTGGCCTGGGATGGCATGCTGTCCCCAGGGAGACTGTGAGGACAAGGCAACAAAGTGCTACAAGGAGCTGTCTTAGTTCAGATTCTCCAAGGAGACTCCAAGGCAAACTTCGGTGCAGGTAGTTTATAGCAAGACAATGCTGGGAAGCAGCAGCTGGGTAGATAGGAAGTGAGGCAGGAAGGGGAAGAGCCGATACGCAATGGGTAGGAACAGGAAACTGTGACTAACTAGAAATCATTCCACCTGAGAAACCATGTCTCACACTGTCCACTGCAGCACAGAGAGGCTGGGACATTAGCCACTTCCTACTCCCCTCACTCCCCATTGATGTAGAGTTTTCCTGAGGGCCACAATTGCCCTTACTTCTGAGTCATGGAACTCCCTGGGTGAAGCAGAGAGCTTAAGGCTTCAGGTCTTGGGTGGGAGTTACCAGGATGCCAAGACTGCACCCCCTGGTGAGTTGAGGTGGGCAGAGCAGGCCATCAGTCTTGCAGCCGCTCCAAGAGCAGAGCAGAGGGACCTCCCCTGGATGAATAGCATTAACCCTGGAGCTCATTCATGGAGCTGGTGGGGGTGGTGGTGCCCAAGAAACCTGGGTGGACTGGGTGGAATTTTGAGGGACTGGAGATTTTGCAGTATGTGGCTTGGCTTACAAAGCTGGCATGGGGAAGGGGTGATTCCTTAGTCAGATAGGATGAAAATTATTCATGAACTGCCCCCTGTAGTCAAAGCAATTTCTTTAATTGCTAGTTCAAATTTTCTTCCCTCTGAAGTCTTTCTGGGTGGGGAGAGGCTTAGCTGAACTACATAATAAAATGTTAAGAGAAGAAAAAAGGCAAAAGGGAGGCCAGAAAAACTGTACAGTTTAGTGTCCATGCAGATCCTTTGGGGAGGGGTCATGTAGCAGTAACCAGTGTGAGGAAAATGGAGAGATGAGGAAAGGGGCCTTTAACTTGGGGCCAGGAGATTACATATTTAAATCCACTTGAGAGACATAAATAATAAAAATTTACCAGGTGTAATTTTGAAAATATTAAATCTGAATGCCTCCCCATTTAATCAATTTTCTGTTATAACAAAGCACCTGAGGTTGGATATTTTATAAAGAAAAGAGATTCATTTAGCTTACAGTTTTGAAGGTTAATAGGCATAGTGCTGTCATCAGCTAGGCTTTCATGAGGACCTCATGGCTGATGCTGTCATGATGGGGAGAGAGATCACGTGATAAGACAGGCTGCCAGAGCAAAACAGGAGTACCAAAAGAACCACATTAATTTCTTCCGAGGACTATCCCTAAATGACCTAAGACTCCCAAGATTCTACCTCTTAAAGGTCCCATTACCTCTTAACATCACCACAGAACACCAAACTTCCAACACGTGAAACCCTGCAGGGGCAAGCCACATCAAAACCCAGTCATACTCCAAGGGAATTCCTCCGGTATCATTAACTCAGGAATCTGGAGAGACTCAATGCCTCCTCAGAGTAAGACCTCTCAAAGACACTCGGTTACTAAGGGGAGGGTTGAATTGCTGGGCTCCCCCAGACTTTTAGATTGAATGACACTCAGCACCCCCTCCTCCCCATCCCTCTCTACCCACCACACTAGCAGAATATTTGTCAGTGTCTGGGGAGGAGAAAGAGCTCCGGGCTCTTGAGGTAAGTCAGATTTTTAGTCATTTCTTTTAAATTATTTTGAATATTTGGATTTTGTTTCTTGAAACTGATTTGTTTCTGGGACAAAAATCACATAAGTCCCCAGGTTTTATGAGAGTTATATAATAAACTTTTAAAAAATAATGTAAAATGGATACAGATTTTCTGGAGCTTGATTCACACACACACACACACACACACACACACATTCTTTAATCGAGAAATTCTGTTTTTATGATCTTATCCCATGGAGATAATGCACACAACAGGTACAGATTTCATGACAAAGATATTGGTGACAATATTGTTTGTGATAAGAGGAATGGAAAGCAGCCCAAATTTTTTACAATTTGATAAAGATGGGACAAAAGGTCTTTTGTGAAATATCATGCTGCCATTAAAATTTTTTCAATCAATAGTAAATTCACATGATTCAAAAATTAAAGCATACATGAAATTTTACCTTGTAAAGTATCACTCTCCTACAACTGTTTATTTTCTTCACCTTGATTCTTCTTAGGGGTTCCCTATATAGTCTTCCAGTGTCTTCTCTTCTCTTCTCTTCCCTTCCTTCTTCTCTTCTCTCTCTCCTTTCTTTCTTTCTTCCTTCCTTCCTTCCTTCCTTCCAACAGTACTGGTGTTTGAACTCAGAGTCTCATGCTTGCTAGGCAGATGCTCTACCACTTGACCCCCTCCCCCATCCCCCAGTGTTTCATTTTGCAAATACAATGGTGGGGTCTGGTATTCTCTTTAAGAAATTTCTATATCCAATATACACAGAGCTTCTTCATGTTTTCCTTTACAACCATAGCCTAGTCCATTGTGTAGATATACTATAGTTTTTTTTTTAAGATCTCTTTTGCTGGACACATTGATTTAACAGTTTCAAAATATGTTAAACTGCAAACTGAATTATTTCCAATTTTTAGCTATTATAGTACTATAATGTAAAATTACATATATATATATATATATATTACAATTTGTCAATAAATGCCTTTGTGCATAGTATCTTTTTGTATATGTGCAAAAAGATTTGGATGATACATTCCTAGAAGTGGTACTGCAGAATCAAAGCTTAAAAGCATATGTAAAATGCTTTGTGGTAGATACTATCACATCAGCTCTGTAGAGATTTCACCACGAAGCAGTGTTGGGTGGGTAGAGGTGAAGTCTGGCCCTGCACTTGATCAATGATCAAATGTCTGTTAAGCCCTAAGAGACTCTATACAGAACATGGTTTCTTCATAATGCCTCCTTTCACAGGGTTCCGAAGTCCTGGATGCAGGATATCCTATCAGTCATTCAAAGGATGGGAGGGAGGGGACACTGTTCTAAAAAAATTCCTCAAGC